TATAAACTCACAATATTTAAAATTAGTGCAAATCAGATTTCATTTTTCCTTATGTTCTATCTTCGATTATATTTTCAGTTTACGGAAGATTGTGTACGTATTTTTGATCGTAGAATATATTTTTAATCCGTTGAATGCGAGGTTCAAGCAAAATCGAGGAACATACTATACGCGAATAGGATGATGTCATCCAGTTTGGTGATCGAATCTACGCTCCCGGCGATGTTATCGTAACATCGATCACGAGGATCGGAGAAGCTCGATCTTTAACGATTTGTTTTACTTCGAAAATAAATTCCACGAATAAACTACTAAATAATATTAAATTAAAAGTTTAATTCTAAAAACAGAACTCTATTACTGGAGTCTAAACGAGTGTGAATATGTATACAGTAAATCCTAGTTTAGTTAATTCCGTGTCAAATTATTACTGTAATAATTAATAAAAACATCAAGCGTTTCTAGTGTTTACTCAATATTCGAATGTTAGATACATATCAATTATATATAAATAACATAAAAAATAAAAGCATCTGATATAAATTTCTGAAATATTTGATTCGAAAATCGGTCGCGAAAGAAAATTAGGCAAAGAGAAACTAGGGCAAAAGACAAACGACGTTATTGGTATTGTCAGTTTAAAAATTTGCGAAAAATATGAACAGAAGCAGGAGGGTAATCTACAATTTATTTATAAACTCTGATAACTATGGAAAAGCCGTGGACAATCATTCGGTAACCGTGAATAACAAGCAACGTTAAAGAAAACATTTTTGTTCAATGCAATAATACATAGCTGAAGAAACTGATATCGAAGTTCATTATTAGAAATCGAAAATATATAAAGTTTGTTAAAATATTATTTCAAGATTAGAAGAATTTCTCTGAGTATATTAGTCTTCATTAATCATGACTATAGAGTTAATTAAATTATTTTGTATAATTTAATTATAATAAGTAAAAATTTGCACGTTCTACCGAATAATTCATAATCAGAGTATTAATTCTTTTTTAATAGAGATTCAATTCAGGGTTGCACGTCACGCACTTAGGTCCGTCGTAATACTTTTTTTTTTCAAAGAATCAATCGCTTGATTTAAACGTTTCCCTCCTTTTCTCCCATTTAAATAATGCAAATGGTCCGTTAAACAGACTGTAAAGTATGTCGTACAAAGAAAAACATGTTTGAAAGTAACTCGAGACCTACTCTCTGATAAAACTGATACGAGGCATTCGAAGTCGTCGGAACTATAGTCGAAGGCAGATGTCAAGTGATATATTCACGTCGGCCACTCGAGTTAAATAACATAGATATACACGTGTGACGGTCTCATCATCGATCACAATAATTTTGAACGAATGTAAAGCACTGAAACAGCATGCCTATAACGTGTCAAGGATACAATATACAAAGTGAGTGACCTATTTGAATCAATCCACGTAAGCACAGAATGCTACTGTGCACCGAATATTGGAACTATTCGAATATCCGACAAATGATTCACGCAAAAATTGAAGATTAAAGTTTAATGCGTTTCATAAATTCAATGCATTTTCACTTTTCAATCCACGAGGAGGGAATCGTTAAATGGGTCACATCACGTATATTAAGCTGGCGTAGCCATTTGAAAAGGCCAAAGCAAAATTAATACGATATTTTTTTGCTATTTATTTGCTAATTATTTGCCAAAGAATTAATTTTTTTGCTCCAGCCGTTTTTGAGAAACAATGGCTACGCTACCGTAATATTAAGCTGGCGTAGCCACTTATTGTATCTCTGTACGTAAGACAGATATCAATACCATTCTTGCGGCATATTTTGTTGCTAATTTATTGCTCTTAATCCACTGAATATTAATTTTTTTGCCCCAGCCGTTTTCGAAAAACTGTGGCTGCTGTAGCTCAATATTAACCTAACGTAGCCACATGTTGTATCACAGTAGGTAACAAAGCTATCGATACCATTCTTGCGGCATATTTTTTTGCTAATTATTTGCTATCAATCCCCCGAATATTAATTTTTTTGCCGCTGTCTTTTTCGAGAAACGACGACCGCGCTGGACCAGCGTTAATTTAGCATAGCCACGTGTCGCGCCTTTGTACCTAACACAGCTATCGATACCATTCTTGCGGCATATTTTTTTGCAAATTATTTGCTATCAATCCCCCGAATATTAATTTTTTTGCTGCAGTCTTTTTCGAGAAACGACGACCGCGCTGGACCAGCGTTAATCTAGCATAGCCACGTGTCGCGCCTTTGTACCTAACACAGCTATCGATACCATTCTTGCAGCATATTTTTTTGCTAATTATTTGCTATCAATCCCCCCGAATATTAATTTTTTTGCTGCAGTCTTTTTCGAGAAACGACGACCGCGCTGGACCAGCGTTAATCTAGCATAGCCACGTGTCGCGCCTTTGTACCTAACACAGCTATCGATACCATTCTTGCAGCATATTTTTTTGCTAATTATTTGCTATCAATCCCCCGAATATTAATTTTTTTGCTGCAGTCTTTTTCGAGAAACGACGACCGCGCTGGACCAGCGTTAATCTAGCATAGCCACGTGTCGCGCCTTTGTACCTAACACAGCTATCGATACCATTCTTGCGGCATATTTTTTTGCTAATTATTTGCTATCAATCCCCCGAATATTAATTTTTTTGCTGCAGTCTTTTTCGAGAAACGACGACCGCGCTGGACCAGCGTTAATTTAGCATAGCCACGTGTCGCGCCTTTGTACCTAACACAGCTATCGATACCATTCTTGCGGCATATTTTTTTGCTAATTATTTGCTATCAATCCCCCGAATATTAATTTTTTTGCTGCAGTCTTTTTCGAGAAACGACGACCGCGCTGGACCAGCGTTAATTTAGCATAGCCACGTGTCGCGCCTTTGTACCTAACACAGCTATCGATACCATTCTTGCGGCATATTTTTTTGCTAATTATTTGCTATCAATCCCCCGAATATTAATTTTTTTGCTGCAGTCTTTTTCGAGAAACGACGACCGCGCTGGACCAGCGTTAATTTAGCATAGCCACGTGTCGCGCCTTTGTACCTAACACAGCTATCGATACCATTCTTGCGGCATATTTTTTTGCTAATTAATATTCGGGGGATTGATAGCAAATAATTAGCAAAAAAATATGCCGCAAGAATGGTATCGATAGCTTTGTTACCTACTGTGATACAACATGTGGCTACGTTAGGTTAATATTGAGCTACAGCAGCCACAGTTTTTCGAAAACGGCTGGGGCAAAAAAATTAATATTCAGTGGATTAAGAGCAATAAATTAGCAACAAAATATGCCGCAAGAATGGTATTGATATCTGTCTTACGTACAGAGATACAATAAGTGGCTACGCCAGCTTAATATTACGGTAGCGTAGCCATTGTTTCTCAAAAACGGCTGGAGCAAAAAAATTAATTCTTTGGCAAATAATTAGCAAATAAATAGCAAAAAAATATCGTATTAATTTTGCTTTGGCCTTTTCAAATGGCTACGCCAGCTTAATATACGTGGTCACATCACTAATGTATACCATAAATATTTTAATTAATACATTTATGAAAATATTGTTTTCGATTAAAGTAGTATTAAAGAATGTATCATTGTGACGTGTCTCTATCGATTTACGTTTGTTGTTTGGAACTACGCTTTCAGGAGAGACTGTACTAATGATTGGTATTAGTCGAGGTCATTTTTTTAAGTTCCAAGAACACTCTTGGAACGGATATCATTAGTTGACGTTAACACGATTATCAAAATTTTCACTGTATCTCACTTTTATAAAATTATTACCTAATACTCGTGTGCAATTTCTTTTTAAAATGAAATAACAATGTTTGCGTCAATGTAACTTCTTTCTATTTTATCACGACTTTGCTATGTTTCCAGTTAAACAGTATCGTTTCATTTCTTGGTAATATTTGTGAAATATAATCTTATCGTAATTTAATTCGGTATCATAAGTGTTCACAGTGATTCCACTACCGCTTTCTGCGGAAGGTCTAGCGATACCATTACTCGTTACACTTCTAATTTCTTCCATTCCGTCCTGCAAGAAGATTATCTTCTATATTTTATTTTTTACCTTGTATCACGATCAAGGCGAATATTGGTCGATTCGTCCAGAAATAATCACAGCAGCGACGATACGTAACGTTATTGCATTATGGTTGTTCGATAACGCGATATGTCTCGGTTATTATGAAAAATATTTATGCATTCGATACATATTATTGTTATCGAATCTCTATCGTAATCGAGCAAAACATTTTTTTCACCAAGTAGTTGGACACAAGTAGACGTTAAATATTGCAATACGAACAAGTAACAGAAAACGTTAAGGGCTTATCTTTATTTGTTACGATAAACATTATTGGTACTGTGTCAAAAAAGTTATTTTTCCACGACGTCCAAACGCTGTTCGCGAGTACGTTGAACCATCTGGCTTGCACCTGGAACATGACCTAAATTCGCGTACAGGATATTCGCAATCGTAGCGTACCGCATACAGAATGTTCAATGCCAACCGGTTGATATTGTGCAATATGATGTAATAAGTGCCTCTGTTGTCAGTGGCGCAAGTCGTCCCAGTCTTGAATCTTAAACCAGTATAGAAATACGAAGATTAAACCAATTGACGATTGTTGGCGATAGATATAATGATTCCTGTAAAGTGGTCGACGTCTGACGAGCACATTCATTCCCAGGAATTTCATAAATTACGAATTTATTCAGAAATGAAGACACGAGTTACTTTGAAATTGTAAAGTATTAGTTTTTACTAAATAGCAATAGCAACGGTATGCGAACTTGTAAAAACTAAATAAATGTACGGAATATAATAACGCAGAATTATGATCGGGACGCGAAATAATGAAATTTATGAGGCTGTGTCGAATAAAATTACTTTACATTTATAGTATAAAATATAAACGCCTTGAAAGAATCCATTTCGAATATTTAATTGTGATATTGTTGCAACAGGTATGTGGCTTAGGTATCCTGGCTCTTGCTGTCGTTTTACACCTTCAGCTCTCACATGCAACAAAATTCATGGACACGAATTTTATGTTCCCGTCGATATCATTGATGGTTATCGGTAGCATTATTTTCTTGGTTTCGTTCTTCGGATGTTGCGGTGCCATTCGGGAAAGTCATTGCATGACTATTACAGTAAGTAAACGAATGTTGTTATTTAATTGTAAATACCATACCTAGAAAGAAATGTTTGTTAAATCGTGTAGTAGTATTATTTATACAATGCTTGTCAGATTTAATGAAAAATTACGATCTTTCGAAAAAGACGAGCCAAGCGTTGCACGTTTCTAAGCTAACTAGAAATTACAAATGATGAAACGTGTTCATGGTACGGTAAATTGTTTTACATATCGATCACTCGATGTTTCTTTTCATAGTTTGCGTCGTGCCTTCTTTTCATCTTGCTTATACAAGTGGCGATCGCAGTATACTCTTTCGTTGTTCTTTCAAACGACGACAATCGCGCAATCATTGCGGATGGTTACAAAACGATATTCGAGAGATACTATACAAATCATGAAGACGAAGGTTTCGTGGACTTCATTCAAAATGAAGTGAGTATCGAAATGTTTACGTATTGTTGAACAGGCCCACATTTATTTTTAGACGTATTCAAATTTGAAATGCTTCGTTGCAGTTACATTGCTGTGGTGTTACCTCTTCGAGTGATTTCAACCATCTTCAAAACTCTACCGGTACCATTCCTCCGAGTTGCTGCGGTAAACAAAGAGATCAGAGTTGTGCAGCAAATGAGTCGTATCCGAATGGTTGTGGGCCTCAATTAACAGATGCCTATAAAAAGGCAGGAACTGTGTTAGGTGGTGTTGCTATAGGCATTGCTGGAGTCGAGGTAAGTTCATAATCCGTTGTTAATTATTAAAGCAATCACCAATATATATTTTCGTCAATTAGACATATGTAATTTTGTTTTTAAATGTGGCTATTTCCTGTCCTTGTAAAGGGTTTGCATAAAGCTTAATTATGGCCATCCTGGGAAAAATTTTAATGGGAGATTCTAGGAGCCAAAATAAGACGAAAATCAAGAATAGCAATTTGTTGATGGTGGCTTCGTTAAAAAGTTATTAACGTTTAAAGTTCCGCCTGTAGAGCGGCAGTCTGCATACACCTGCGCACGCGTGACAGTGGTTCTACATGCGGAACTTTAAACGTTAATAACTTTTTAACGAAGCCTCAATCAATAAATTAGTATTCTTGATTTTCATCTTATTTTGTCCCCTAGAATATCCCATTAAAATTTTTCCCAGGGGTGGCCAAACACCCCCGTACATTTTTGTCAATTAGACATATGTAATTTTGTTTTTAAGCCACTAATGTCTATTTCCTGTCCTCGTAAAGGATTTGCATAAGGTTTAAATATGAACGTTTACACTTAAACCTACTGAAACCTATATTTACACGTATATTATTGTATTATGTTCCAGTTGCTCGGCATAATTTTCTCACTTTACTTGGCGAACTCCATTAAGAACGCCGAGCGCAGAGGTTACAGAGTGTAAAAAGCTTAACAAGCGTAAGGAGAATTATAAACATTACGCGAAACAGTAATGGAATTATAACACTATTTTACCATAATTAAAATTACAGATTGCAATGCAACAAATTTAGACAGTTTGTACAAATGATGAAGGAGTAAACGAGATGCGGGGAAAGTGCCTTTCATTTTAATTTGGAATATAATTTCGCTTTAAGCTTTTGACCTTTGTATGTGATATTGAATGTATAAACATATTATTTAATGTATTTTTTACTTTGATATTTTCATTAATTTGAATATATTTTTTATCCATGATAGGTGGAACACAGTAGTAATAATATTAATAGTAATAATAATAATAGTAATAATGATAATGATAATAATAATAGTAATAATAATAACAATAACAATATCAACAATCGGTGCAAAATGTTTCTAGAGGCCCGGCAGTTATACTTTGTTCTTAAATCCTATAATACTAAATATAACTTACCTAGCATTTGTGCACATAATTCAGAAAGATCGATTTCCAATCACCCGGAACAATAATTCAAATTTGTTCTTTTTTTTTTTTTCTGGAATTTATAATTCGCAATCTCTTAAATGAGAAGTTATATTCTAATGTAATTTAACTCGAGTAATGAAATACTAAATCACAGTGAGTGTTACGTAGTCCCGCGATTCTGTAAAAAAATATTTTTATAATAACATTTTGATAATTCCATTATTATTTTCGGAGTGTAATATCGAATCATATACATTTCACATTTAATAAAATCTATTATGCCCAAATTAGCGTGTTTTTGTCATTGATTGTGCATGTTGTGATGTTAAAAGAAATCTAATTTAAAATACACATCCAACGGCATTATTGATTATAGCAAATTTTGTTATTTACACTTCATCGTATTCCCAATTTTCGAATGTATTTATCACGGCTATTTACATGTAAGTGAAGCATTAATGCAATTAAATTATTTCAAACGTTTATTGAATTACTTGGTCTATCGTGATAGACAATACGATTAAATGGATCGATAATGTATCGATAATATTTGTTTAGGAACGGTTTTTTTTTTTTAAATTGAACATCGATCATGCGTCTTTACATTCATTATATTGTCGTTATTTATTAAGTTCAAGAGAGGATAACTTACATCTGTTGTGCTATAATACATATTATTTACAATATCCCAATCGTATTTACGGTTATCGATCGATTTTGTAATAGTTGTTTACCTTTGATTGGGGATTGGGGAGGAGTGGGGAGAGGGAGCAGTGTTTAGTAATCGAATTTTCGATATAATGTAACTTACATGTACCTTACAGCTATATCATTAATCGATTACTCAGAGACTGCAGGACAAAAGTTGTTTTCGTCGGAACTTCTTCGTTGTAGTCACTAAATATTAAAATTAGTAATACAATACGATAACATTTCTATGATAACTAGATACAAATTATACGATACATCGTTTTCGTAGTTATTTACGCGTTGATAACGTAAAATCGGATTCGGGCTTTGTCATATACGTGTGCCATTCTATTCGGTTTAATCCATATGTGAACAGACGGGTTAGACTTACGAATATGGTACGAAGAATAATTGGTAGAAATGGTTGAACGCAAAAGACAACTTTGTACCCATACAGTCTTCGTTTCAAATATTGAAAATATCCATCGTGTTTAATATGTCTACGTGTAAAATATCTTGATTTCTATCGACTCGTTATCTTAACGTTAATACGTACTAATGATATTATCCCTAATAATTTGACCAAACGCAAATTAACCGTTATACCGAACATTTATGTTCGTGGCGAATTTCGTATAAATTACGACGAAATCTTCTACTTGGTACAGCGTTTTGATCGTAACGGAAACTACTTTGTTTCGAGTTTCATTTTTCATTTCTTTCTACAGTCTACGACTCACGCGTTTGTTCGAATCCCGGACACTCTACTATCTTACAATCAGCAAGATACGTAGACTCGATATTTTTTTCTTTTCTTTTCTTTTTTTTTTTTTGCTAAACACGGAACGAAAGTAATACGCGCTCGTAGCGTACGGTATAATACGAGTTTTACACAAATAATAATAGATTATAATGCGTCTCCAACCTTTTACCGTCGATCGTCCAGGAAACAGTACAAATTCGTGTTTATACAAAATCGTCGAATAGTCTTAATCTAGAGTTTCTAAGCTCAGTTTCGGAAGATGACGCGTTTAGTATCGCGTTACGTTTAAATCATAAGATTTTGTTGAAAAATATAGAAACGGTTACTCTATCACTTGTATTCGTTCAACGTAACGTCGTTACGTTTTTAGTCAATCAAACGTTTTAAAGTTGCACTTTGTCCTATCGGTAACTAACTTTTTTTTTTCTTCTTCGAAACGTCAAATTCCCGGTTAAAATGACAGAAAGTGGAAATAAAACTTTTCTGCACGCGACGTGTAAATCTCTACGACAGAATACTCGTTGCACTTTTAATAAAGTTACTTCAATCTGTACTATTATTTATTGTGATCTAGTTCAACAAGATCATCGATGGAAGTACTATTGGAAATACTTGACACAATTCCGATGATATTTTGTATCGAGTTTTGTAGCATGAAGTATGGTCATAGTTCCAGTCTATGATGTCTTCATCGTGGTAATTCATATGCACTGTACACGCTACATCCTAATAGTGTTTAGACCACCTTTTACGGAATATTACTCATACTTCAGTGTTACTTGTATGCATACGCTAATTAAGAAATCTACTTCCATCTTGTGAGCAAAGAGAGTACACTTCAAGTACATACAATAATTGTCTTCTGCTCGTTCCCTTATTCGTCTATATAAATTTAAGTAATCAAGAAAGAATTGCATCGTTCGAATTGAAATTATTTCGCGGAGTAGAACTAATCCTCTTGCACGACAGACGCGACAAAATCTACCGATCAGAAATAGTTTCACTGAATATTCCGCCAACAGGAAGCTCCCAAAATAAAACTAGAAAGTAAGACGTTAATGCCGTGACATAAGTTGTACAATTATTTCATTGAAACTTTTGTTTATCCAGACGAAACACGATGCTCTTAGCTTTAGTTACCTTCAATGCACGTTGTTTAAGGATATATAAAAACATTAATGCATTGTATAGCATCGGGGATAGATGCAACTTGAAAATAATGAAACTGTTCTTATTTATAGGAAAGTGAGTACCCTATTTACAGATTCAAATATTTAAGAGCGAGTTCCATAGGGATGTAGTAACAAATAGTAAGTAGCTGGAGACCAGAAAAGGTGCACACTTTTGAGAAGTTCTGTCATAGATAGGCAAACTATAATACATGTGTTCGTTCATTTATTAACTTATTTGATTCTTCATCTTGTGCGCCGATATTTGTTTTATAAAGAATGTGTAACTTAAGGCAGCAGGATGATAAAGAATATTCTAGCGTGGTTTTGCCGGATCTTACGTACTCTTTCAAACTAAAAGAAAATAAATGTGTAGTAAGTCATAAAATAGTTGGAAGATAGCTCAAGACGGCAAAAATGATGGTTCGACATGATTAAATTTTACAATAGTTACCTTTCCCTTCTCTCGGGAGTAAGTTGTGATTATTATATTGTACGTTTACTATAATAAATAAAATATTACCAAAATTGTTGCTTTCGTTTAATCATTTTCTAGTGGGTTGCGATCAGGATTGATTTTATGCGTAAGTAAGCAATGTATCAGGGTGCTTTATCATCGGTCAAATTTTTTTTTGATAGCACCGTGCTCGCATTTAACAGTAATTTGTGCAATGATATTGTCAGTTAACAAACTGTTCTGGTAATTGTTTAAAAAAACAGAAGTTGCATCGATTTCGACGATTTTTAAGTATTTCACAAGGGATGATTCTTAGTTTTCGAGGATTTTACCTTAATTTCTGTAGCGTTAAAAAAATCATCGAAACCGAGACTTTCCCTGAATAATTGCCCCGAATTTAAGCTTCTCTATAAGAAAACAAGTTGACGAAGAATTCTATGTAAACCTCTATCAAGGTAACAAATTGTTTGAGTTTTGATTCTTCAAAGATTTATCTACCTTAATTTTTGTAGCGTTAAAAAAATGATAAAAATCGAGACTCTCCCTGAACATTTGCCCCAAATTTCAACTCTGTAAGGAAACAACATAAAACTTCTATGGTGGAAGGAATCGAGCATAGTTTCAACACAGTTTGCCTATCCCTGACGAGAGTCCACCCTCAGCGTGTAGCTTTAGAGCAGAGTCCTGCCTCGAAGCTGATCCTAGAGCGGGGAGAGCGTCATGATGTCGCTATGAAGGTCGGGAGACGGAGTGTCATCCAAATCGATAAGACTGGCGTTGGAGCCCGTCAAAGAGGGTGCCACGAACTCGTCAAGGAAGTCGAAGGAGGCCACGGCTTCGCGTTCCTTGTCCCCGTATCGCACGAAGAAGTCGTCACCCCGTCCGATGATCGAAGGCCTCGACGAGCCCCAGGTAGACGGTAGACGCAGCACACGGTGTGCCTGGGCCGCCGATGCTGAGAAACCAAGCGCAGCGGGTCAACATGCCTCAGACCTCACTTGATCTCTTTTCTCTTTCTTCCTATACCGGCTCTAGCAGACACAGAGTAGCTCGGCTTAGCACTCTTACACGTATCACGTCCCTCTCTTTCTCTCCCTCACTCTTCTCTATCGTATTTTATTATATCCATCTCTTTCTCCGTCCTCCATCGTCATTGTCATATGCGTGATTGTCAGTTAACTTCTCTCGTGGATATACGTATAGCTCTTTCTTTGCGGTAGACTTTGCATTGGCAAGTGCACGACTTTACATCTTGGAACTCGTGGCAGTCGAATAGCATGGCTTGGAACTGCATGCACTCTTTTCTTTTTTTTTTAGAAATTTTGAATCACAATTAAACAACTCAACTTAAACTCAACTTGAACTCAACTTTATTCGATTATCGTGTAGACGTGTGCATGCTATTGGTCTGCCACCAGTAATTTGTTAGGCGATCGAAAGAAACGAAACGATGCGGACATCTACGTAGGTTACTGCGTTAGGAGCTATGACACTCCCAGAAAATATTGCCTTTAAACGATCTAGCGAAATGAAGAACAATAAATCGAATAAGTATTCGTACACTTAGCTATTTGTAATAGCATTATACCCAAAAATATCGACTCTACTGAAACCATAATTCAGACAACCTATGCGATTCTTATCTGATATGCCTAATTTGTTGCATCGAGGGAACTAGCATTGCAGAAGGCTCGACATTGTCTTTCGTTCCAATTATTATTTAAGGAATTGAAGTTTTCAAGTATGCAATATTTTTTGAGACACCTTAACAACTCGGGGCAAAAGAGCCTCTCAAGGTTATCGAGCAACTATTATTTAAAATATATTAGAAAGTGTCTTTACATATCCTATAGAGAGTAAAACTGGAAGTTTACCTGGAAGAGTAACCTTTAACTAACATCATTTGCCTCGAGTGTATCAGGTAAGATTTTAGTTATGATAGTTTAAGACGAATGGTGAATAATAGAAAAATGACGATCGGGAGCGTGTCAAGGTATTTTTGCATCCACTCTTTTTAACAGTATTTTTTTTTTTCTTTTAAGAGCCTCTAATAGCGTTCAGTTGCCTTGCCACGGTCCCGACGATGAAAAACAGCTTTACGGAGTCGGAGTAAAATTATCACGAATGAACAATGATTGTGTAACAGTCAAGTACCTGCCAATGACATTCGGAAAGTATCAATCTTGTACAGAATGAGAGAGACAGTAACTGCTTTATCTAACCCTTGACGCAATTCCAGACGCGTTATCGACTCGACGCGATGACGGCATTTCGGTAAACGATAGAAACTTATTTACATAACATTTGAGACGTTCGTTCGTGTTTAGTAATTTTAGATCGGTAGTATATTCGCGTACAAATTTCATTATTACTAAATTACCCTAGTAGAATGAATGTTATTATATAGGTACATAAAAAAAATAAAAAAAAAAAAAAAGATTGAGTAATAATCTATTAACACATTACGGACAAATCTTCATCCATAGCTGCGAACGCGCTTTGTTATTAGGTACGCGATCGAATCGAGGCGCGGGACAAGTTTTATTTAAAATAATACAAAATAAATGTGATATTTCGGTCGACGTTGTAAATTAATAAGTGTTCGTAATGTGTTAACCGTGGTCGACCGGATTCCCATTTGTTCTACGGCTGACAGAATTGGAATTGCGTAAAAGGTGGACCCGTGTCGAATTCGTTCTAACGTCTTCTGGTTAATAATCTGTTAGTAAGCCAATGGAAAATCCGTTGTAGCCGTACAGTTCACGTTGAAATGTAGGTCCCGGCGGAACGATTCCTCCCAACTGGCATGTCGGTTACAGAAACTGATCGTCACTAAGCCGAACTACGTAGCTTTTCTTGTGACAATCAAAGCACACCGCGTAGGAGCTACCATCTGAACAGAAAACGTGGAAAAGGCTATGTACAGCGAGGGCTACTCTAGCGTTCGTGTTCTTGTTCCGTTTCTTGTGACTGTACACACTGACGGTGTTAAGAAAAATGGCAAATACCGCTTAACAGCGTGACGTGTTAACGCGCCAGTGCAGAGCACACGCTAATATACCGTGCAAACACGACGCTAGACAATTCGCCACATTTTTAATCGAACCCTGACGTTCTCTTTTCACCTGAATGCACTTTTATCAGAGATGAATCGAACTGCGATGCAACCGTTGATGACTTAGCAATGTGTCGAGTATATTAGCGTGATCATGAGTATATTAGCGAATGTCGTTAGTGATGTTATCTTAAGTATAAACAAGCGGAAGCGTTTCTTTCGTACTGCATTCTTGGAAGAAGATTGCTCGTGAAAAGACGTGTCGCTTACTTTTTTTTTTATTATGACATGGTAAACGAGAAGTGTGCAAATGATTTTAAATTATTGTTAGGACAGAGTAACGTTTACGATACACATTTAATTACTACGAGAAAAGGATAGTCGTGTGATAGGTGATGATCGTTACAAAAAAAAAGTATAGAGCAGAACATCGTTGAACACGTCTCGACAATTGTGTTAAGCGGAAGGTATATTTTAATCGAGAGGGGGGGGATAATTTCAGAGTGATATGCAGGATTGGACGAATAGACGTTCTCTAGGGAGTATCGTTAGTGAATATGTACCTTTCTTTTGTCGTCGGTATCGGTGTAATCTATGCAAGTGACGGTAGTCAGGCGGTTCATCCCCCGAGTCACTTCCGGCTGATCCGTTGCTCGATGCCGCCGAAGAACTTTCGCTGCTTGCTAGCATCACGTCTAAAAGATTGGCTCTTGCCTGAACGGACACGAATTTTCATTAATCCTTAAATAACAAGCGTCAAAATTGCACGACGCGTTGACTGAACTCGGATCAAATTCAGCCGGACGTTCAAGACCATTGCAAAATGTTCACGAAGTCATAGTTTCGCGATCTGCTTACTTTTGGGTCGGTGAAGTCAATGTCTCGTTCAACGTGAACCCATCCGGTTGGACAGCAGCAAGCGAGATCTAATTTTTCGAGCGGCAAGTGGGTCTCTTGGTTAAGATTGTGCTCCTCGCCCTTCCTGATCATTCGATTCAGCTCGTCTATGACATCCTTCGACGTGGCGCGTTCGTGAAAGCTCAACGATCGGTCCCTGCCCTCGATCAGCAGCGGAGCTCTTGCTGGACTGACCTGGTACAGACAAAACGTGCCTTTTAACTGTAAAAATACTTTGCTCTCATTTAGAAGTTCACGCACTACCTTCCCCCAACCATGATCCTTCTCTGGATCAAATTGACAAAGATTTTAAAAGTCGAGCATCTTGAAATCGGTTCTTCTTAATACGAGTTAAATAATGTTAGTTTTTAGGGTCAGTTGCCCTAATATGGAATACTTTTTTTTTTATACACCTTGCAAAAACTCAGACTGCGATATTTTCTTCAATATTCATCTACGAACACGTGTTATAATCGATTGCATTCGTCGCCAATAGATGACAAAATTACGATTCTTTAATATCGCGGTGTTCTAAATTAAGAACGTATTCCAAATGACTCTACTTTTAGTGGTTCGGTGGGAGTAAATTGCATTGGAGATTGAATTGACGAGTTTTTAAATGGAACCTACGACTGTGCTCGGCGTGGAGGAAGTAGCAGCTTCTTCGTCTTCTTCGGGAACGGCGCCTAATTCGGAGGGCGCAACCGTGGTGTACGAAACACCACCGTTACAAGCCACCGCGCTAATTATTCTCTCCTCTGGTGCTAAAGGGGGTACAGGTATCTGATCCAGCAAGTCATCGTTACTGCTCGTTTCGACAATGTTGTCCGCGTTGCTGTTATCCTGGTCGATGGACGTCTCCATTTCGATACACATTCCTTCCGTTCCGCATTCGTCCTTATTCTCCGTCTTCTCTAGAGCTGTCCACGTGAAATATAACTTTAATCTTATACATTACTATATGTATATACTTCGCGAAATATATGTTCTTTTAAAGGGGAGTCGAAAAGAAAGGCCTGGGTTAGGTCTGACATTAGTATTCATTATTGAGGTAAAAGTACGCAGAAACACGCCAATAATAACGTTAAGATAAATATCAAATGCTGTCACTTCTATCGAATCAGGAGTTTGAATTTAAAGATATTTATAGAACAAGCAACGAACCTTCCGTTGTAAGAGACGCGTTGTGCTCCAAAAGGTTGTTCGGCAGCTCTGCCAAATACATTTGTTGCTCGGCGATGAAGGATAGGACGCTCTGGAGGGCTTGTTCTCTGTCCGGTGGTGGTCTTCCGCTTCTCGACGACGTGCTGGCCAAGCTCTTCGTACTCTCGAACTTCACCAATCGGTAGAAGTCTCTGGTGAAGTCTGTACCGATTGATGGAGAGTCCGGGTCGTCGCTGCAGCCGGACAATGCCGCGGATGAACGTTTGCTGGAATTCTCGAGAACTCCTTCCTCGCTGCTCCAGGAAGCACCAGGACTCGTGGCGTACGGCCAGGATCCGGTTGCTCTGGCGTCCATGAGAAGGGCAACCTTCGCGGCAAAAGATTCCACAAGTTACGTAATTTCGAAAGATTTTAACTCTGCGTCGTAATATGGGATTGAAGAACATGAGTAAAATATATTTCACATTTTATTTTCGCAATGGACCTTCGTTACGGATCAACTCTCGCATCGTAGAAGTAACTTTCTCAAGGAAACGAAAGGGGTAAAAATATATCCCGCGGAAAACAATGTTGTAACGTTTTTATTGTATTCTGTTGCAACGATCGTACCAATTCTCCTCCTGTTCTATCAGCGAGATAACTGGCGCCATTCCATAAGCATTCGTTCGCGTCCTCTTCCAATTCCAGAGGATTATGTTCCTTGATTGCTGGAAGCGCGGGGGTGGGAACGGGTTCCTTCCATACCGTGGTTTCATTTTGAACAAGGTCCTCGGTGGACAACGAGAAACTCCAATCTTCCAGTTCTGCTCTGTCGTATTCCAACTCGAGGAGATCTCGATGTTGTTGAGCACTTCTGCTGTCGTCCAACCTGAAATTTATCTCGCCGTTTAATCGCCGTGATATTATCTACGCGTGATCTGCTTTATTCGACGGATTCAATTCAAGCAGCCCTGCATAAAGATATTAATCAAGATATTAAGTACGCGAAAAGGACTCGTGGAATATTCTTTTTTGTGACGAGTCCTTGCAATGCAGACTGTCGAATAAAACTATTACTACAAATTTTCTAAAACATCGGTTCGACAAGAACAGTTTTCCTTCCACAAAAGCACCACGACAACAGAAGTTCTTTAACCCTTTATCCTACAATCACCTGTGAGACTTTAAATCGTAGGGCAAGGGGTTAAAAGAGAAAAAGTATAATTTCGAACAGAATTAACCTCTAGTTATCTGCCACCTTCTAAAAGCAGGTTAAAAGCAAGTGGAGTTCTTTTTTGCAGCTTCTTGCAATCCTGTCTCTATTGTAACCGTTACCAGTAAATATTTTGAACGAACCTGAGCCACTGTTGCACGTACTCGGCGTCCCAGCCCTCCTCCTCGACGAGGAGGAGGGACGAAGATCCCATGGGGCTGGGTAGCTTGTACGGTGTAAAATTGGTCGTTGTGGTTAGCTTGAGACACAAGTGACTGTCAGAGAAGCTGCGCATCACGTGCTGATACGGCAGCAAATCTTTGGTCGGCGGGTAGCTGTGACGTGGATTTATTCCCACGGTGAGATTCAGTGGCAAGAAGAGGACGTCCGGGTCGCCGGCGTCGAGGGCGACCAATCGTGCATCCGGTGAAACATCAGCCTCGGTCTCGTCGGTGGCTTCCTTGAGATCCTCCAATCCTCGGGAGGGTTCCTGTCGCGCGCCCTCGCCCTGAACATCGCTGGACATTGTTGAGTAACCCTCGTCCCTGTTTCCACTCTCCGGGCTCTCACTGCCCTCCTCCTCCGACGGTTTTTGGGCTGAATTTAAATAACGCTAATATTATGTACGATCCAGACAATATTTGCTCCTACAATAGCCCAATAATGTTTTCTACCGGATCTATTAGTTGTATTAATTATAAAACGTTTTTTAACGAATCTAATGGAAATTAAATAAATCCAAAAACCAAGTACCTTCCTCTTCGTCAGTATTTAAGAACGTTTTCTAAGCAAAATTTTGATATTATTTAGTTATCGCTCAGAGAACTACCCTCGACGACACTCAAGTCATTCTACAACCTTGATATATAAATTTACTTTTTTAGAATCAACTGTTCGAATCGACAGTGTAAATTTTGCTAAGGATATTGTCGTTTTAGACTGTCGAGGCGTACCCAAAGGTCTGTTTCGTCGACATTTCGTAGCCGCCATGACGGGTATTTGTAAATTGAGAGACCGAGGCCTGGACAAAGGGACCCAAGATGGATCCAAACCGAGGGCAGCCACCACAGCTGCTGGTCCAGCTTCGAGGATCCCTTGAATCAACTCCGACGGGCTGCCAGGGCTCGCAGCTTGAGCCAACAGTCCCGAGAGGGCTCGATTTTGCGCCTCGAGCTCGCGGATGCGCCTCTGCAGCGCACCGATCTCCTCCCTCAGACTCTGCGTACGGTAGAAACGACAACGATTAGCGTATCTTTCGATTTCGATCTAACCTCGAATGACAGAAAGCGCGATAGCGGACAAAGAACGAGGACCGGAGACTTTAACGGTGGGTTGGTGTGATTTTCTTGCACGCATAAGCATTTGTGGACGTATAATATTGCACTAATACTAGTCGAGTGTCTGTTACGCTAACGCTAAGTGACGGTTAAACGAATGTAAATAGCAAAGTGGAGGTAGATTTCAATTAATTCTATAAAGTCTACGTGATTAATAATTAGATAATCTGAACTCTTCAAATCTATTATTTGTTTTTTATAAAGGAGGTAACGTTGAAAATTTCGCTAAATCGATCTAGTCTTGATATGCGCGAGACACATTTGCAGCCTTACAACTTCGCAGCTCAGCGGATGCAGATGGATCAGGAAAGGATCGATGTGTTAAGGGTGAAGATCGACAATGGACACGATTAAACAATCGATGCATGTACAAACAATTGGAATTATACGATTCACGTGTCCATGGAGACTTAAACGATTCTCGTATCGCTAGCAAACAGAATTATTTTGCTCGGAGGAAATAAAAATTCAAAATTCCACGCTATCAACGTTCTATGTTGCTATATCGTCGGGAAATATAATTACGAATACTTCGTAACTTCGCTGGTTATGTTCACGTTACAATAATTAAAATGATAACATAAAAACTAAACGCTCACGTGTGTGCCAGTATCCTTGAAGGGGTTAAAGACAGCGTAGGTGAAACATAACTGTGCTGCTCACATTTAGAAAATATGATGAACATAGAGTATTTTCATAAAGTATTGTTCAAGATACCGTTCAAATAATACGTTGGAATTAGTTTGAATAATGAGAAATATCGATTAGATATCGGAAAGCGGAGGTAGTGTAAGAGTGAAAGAGAAGTCGAGGACATGGTAACGAGAGCATAGCAATGAACCTTTTGGGATAGAAGGGCGCGGACCACCTGGTTGGCGACGTCGTCCAGGCACCGCTCGTACTGGCGACGCTGAGCGTCGGCGTCCCGCGCCAAAGCGGCGTGCTCCGTCTCCAAGGTCGCCAGACGCGCCACCAGTGCAGCGTGCACTTCACCAGCGCATGCAGCCTCCAAACCACGGAGCTGACCCCTCATGGACTCGTTCTCCAGCTGGAGCTTCGAGATCTGAGCCTGGTATTGGTGCACGCGTGCCTGTTCACAAAAAGAAACGATATATTAATTAAAATATTTCTATTTAGACAAGAAAAACCTTTAATTCTTATTGCACGTGTTAGTTAACACGTTGACTGCCAGTCTAAAATCCTAAAATTATTTACAGGACCAAAACTTTCATTTTAGGCAATTGTAAACTACACGACTTAAAAGTTGTCGTAGTAGTTGCTTTCGTAACCTCATTTAAATTTACGAAGCCTATTAAAATTTATTTTCTTTAACATTTCAACTTGAGAATTCATTATTACAGTTCTACTGTTAAAAGTTCTGTCACCCATATATGGGTGACGTGGCAGTCAAAGTGTTAATTAATAACCAATCGTTAGAGACCGCTGTTGTAATACATTAAACATAGGGTAGTAGAGTAATCACAGTGTCTTTGGTTAAATGGGACCAGAATAATCGAGACGAGCCCCAGTTAGAAATATTTGATTTCGAGGCATTTTTAAAAACGTGGTTCCTTTTGGAATTGCTCCATAACAAATCCCTACATCTCTCCTCTATCCAGGCAAGAAGAAGCTTTAGTTCTTTTTGAACATTAAGGAAATGATACATTAAACTTGAGGTAGTAAAATAATCACAGTATCTTTGGTTAAATGGGATCAGAATAATCGAGACGAGTTCCAGTTAGAAATATTTGATCTCGAGGCATTTTTAAAAACGTGGTTCCTTTTGGAATTGCTCCATAACAAATCCCTACATCTCTCCTCTGTCCAGGCAAGAAGAAGCTTTAGTTCTTTTTGCCTATTAAGGAAAGGATACATTAAACTTGGGGTAGTAAAATAATCACAGTATCTTTGGTTAAATGGGATCAGAATAATCGAGACGAGTTCCAGTTAGAAATATTTGATCTCGAGGCATTTTTAAAAACGTTTCTTTTGGAATTGCTCCATAAAAATCCCTACATCACGCTCTAATTTCTCAGGAGGTATTGGTTACTCTCTTGTGTATTTCAGTATACCTTGAAAGTCATTGTCGTCGAATAAAAATTACACGTGTTCCTGCAAAGGCACTCGGAGAATCGTGGGGTGGTTCCGTGGCGCTAGCAGGCTGGATCGAGGGCTCCCATCGTCGGTTGCAGTTTTCTTGCAAGATTTCGTTGCAAGGGAGTTAATAATACCAACGGCCGTTATTAGCAGAAAGGCGTTTAACGTTAAATTAGGGCTGCGGAGACCTGTCGGAGACAGGGGTGCTAATAGAGGGTGCGTGTGTCTGATTTATAACAGTCGTGCCAGCCAGGCGGCCCTTGCTAATGTCTACACCCCCTTCTTCCGAAAGTGAAGGGAGGCCAACGATTTTCTGTCATCTCGCACGAGGGAAAATAAAAATACAAACTGGCCGCTTCTTGGAATTCTCCCCGTGGCACATCTGACTCCTCGCCTTTCTCAGTCCGTTTCTCTCTATCTCCGTTTCTCTTTCTTACCCTGTTTCTGCGTACGCACGAGTCACTCGCGGTAATTTATCGTCGCGCACCGACGGAAGACAGACTGTCGCTTCTGCGCTTCTAAATTGCACGCATCGGCGTCGTGAAATTTCTAATCTAATTTTGAAGCGACGTCACCGCGACGAGTAACGACTCGAGGAAGCGTTGCCTGCAACGCTTCGCGACCGTGTCAACTTGAAGTACGTCGAAGTGCGGGGAATGTAGTCACTTGGATTTGAGGGGGAGTCTCGAATGCCAAGCGATGCACGGGCTAGGAACGCGACACCGCGTTTCCACAATTTTGTATCAAAGGTAGCGAAATTCTTGTCTGAAGGAAACTGTGGAACGTCAAGGTCGAATTTTGGGCAGCTTCGATTATTAAAATATTTATTTTCAACCCTCCTACTGTCTTGTTTACTTCTATATTATGGTTAGTTTTGGCGATAATACTTTGTGAAATCTAAATTTAACATAAACGATATTTTCTGCATCAAACGTCGAATGAAACTTTTGAAATTAAATAAAATTTATTATCTGGTAATTGGATTTCAAAATAAGCATGGAAGACAATATAAATTATAGTAGGTGTATTGATTGGATGGGGGATGAAATGTCCTTTAAAATGAAATTTGTTTCAAGTATGGCTCAATAATTAATAAAACGCTAGTAGTTTCGAAGCTGCACGCGTCTAAATTTGTTATTATTTTTAATACTCGTTAATAGACCTTCGTAAGACGGAGAGTGGAATTAAAAAAATTATGATGCAACCGTCAAGTTTCTCTGGTCCCTCGCTCAGCGATCTCTATAATGGAACATTCGCTCACAAAGATCAATTACTCCCCCATTCAACGCAGTCCGTCCAACTGTCGGACGGAATTATCGAACGTGGAGAGTTCTCGAAGTAACTTTTCGACGCAAGATCGGCAGCCAACGAGAATGCTGTGCTCGTGAAGGGGGTGCGCTTCGTAAGTAAAATCGAACAGCTACAGAAGGAACACTCGCAGGCGTGTGCTCGCTTCCTCGTAACCGATAGAGGGATTTTCAGGGGTCTGGCATCGGTGGGGCGGCCGACATTGAACCAGGGGGATCGAGCAACGATCGATAATAAACGGTATTTCGTGGGGGCAGTGATGCACACCCCTCGTCTCTGAATCTACGACTCTTTTAGGAGCAAACCGGCCGTGAACGAGATAGTGCGTACATTCTAAGGGCTCGCAGTAAACGCGAGCGTTTACTGTGTTCTCCCTTTTCATTGCACCCGCCGGTGGTTGCGTTACTTTGTTAAGTCTGGAATATTGGTCGTTGGCAAATACATGGCGAAAGTATCGTCGGTTATTGCGTCCAGGTCCGCGCGGTACGGACTGAAAATTGTTCAACTCGCTCGGAACGTTATCTCTGCCTACAGCCGTGAATACGTCCGTACAAAACCGACCAAAAGTTTCGAATCGCTCGCTGATTGCCAAAATCCTGATAAATTTTAGTCGTGGATATCAGACAAAGGCATCTATGTATTACGTTCATCCACAGTAGCAAACAAATAACAATTTTATATTATTAAATATCCTGATAAATTTTAGTCCTAGATATCAGACAAAGGCATTTTCGTATCTCGTCAAGTTCATCCAGAGTAGCAAACAAACAATAATTTCATTCTATTAAATATTATGTAATACTCGTACCACAACCGATACACAACAGTTTGAAACGATTATTTCTGGTATCTCTTCAACCTCTGGTGGACAATCGACTCGTGCCGGAAGTTAACTCTTCGTAAAGCTGTCGTTCGGTTCGTACTATCCGGTGTCAACGGTAGCAGAAGTGGATCGCGCTCGAGCGGTTAATTGAAACGCCAAAACTGTGGACCATCGCGATCGCCGATAAGTCCTAGTGGCTACGCGGAATTGTTTAATCCCGAATCGAGTATCCCACTCGACGCGGGTCTCGCGTGCTTCGGTGTGGCTCCTGGTCGAAAGTATCGGTAAGGGGACGAAATAAATTGCATTACGTACACGCGAGCTGACGGCACGGCTGGCAAGATCGGTCTCGCTTTGGTGGCCGCTGCCAGGAACAATCGTGCACGACAACGTCGGAGTGAAATACAATAACGGGACGCTGGCCCGTACGAGGACGGTTGTTATTGGACGAGGGGAGAACCGTTTTTGCTCGAGTGTCATCCGTGCACGAACAAAAAACAAAAAAAAAAGAAGAAGAAACGACGGACAACAGCAAAACGATTCGACTATTCGATCGACTCGAGGGAGTTTCTCATCGCTATCTAACCGTGCTTATCGACAAACGCTGGGGTCCAATATTTCCGCGATGCCTCTCGTTCCAATGGGCCCCGGCAGATTAAAATCGAGCCACTCGAACGAATATAAATTTAAGGAGGACGGCGTGCATCGCGAAATTGAAATCGCGGCTCGTTTACATCCGGTGTCCAAGCACCGCTGGTAACGCTAAATACGTTCAATTATCGGGCAATCCAACGTTCAAAATGCCTCTTTTTATTATACCAATTGAAATCTCTGTAAAGAAATTGCTCGATGCAGGGCGTCTCGTCTAAATCAGGCCACTTATCTTCAATCGTTACGATACACACAATCTTTATATATAATATAAATTTTATCAAGGAACCGACATGTTGCACAGAATATTTTTTCCGGAATTTTTAAGCTATCGTGTAATATTAAAATAGTTTCATGAATAATTAAAATTGTTGTTTGATAATGGGGTACAATAATGATTCTTAAGATGAACAGTGTAGACAAAATTCGATACCAGCATCGTATTTTAAATGTCGTCTTTCGTCAGTTGGAAGGAATAATCACGTCTAGAATTAATTTTAAAACCCATTACTGTACTTGCAAATATTCAACACCTACGTTTTTAACAAATTTTATTTTCTGTAACTTTGATCTATACCGGGTGTTGGGCCATTCCTGGGAAAAATTAAATTAGGAGATTCTAGAGGCCAAAATAGGACGAAAGTCAAGAATACCAATTTGTTGATGGAGGCTTCGTTAAAAAGTTATTAACGTTTAAAGTTCCGCAAGTATTGAATTTTTTTCTCGAAAATGCACAGGATTTCGGGGGGATGTGTAATGACCAAAAATAATTGTAATCAACCCCCGAAACCGAAAATAATTTTTCGAGAACGATTTGAAATTTTTTATTTCGTCGAAAAATTTAGCACATTTCTGAATTTTTTTCTCGAAAGTGGATAGGATTTCGAGGGTATGTCTATTCACCAAAAATAATTGTACTTGCCCCCTGTAACGAAAAATAATTTTTCCAGAACGATTTGAAATTTTTTAATTTTGTCGAAAAATTTCACTTTCTCGAATTTTTTTCTGAAAAGTGAGTAGGATTTCGGGGGTATATCTATTCACCAAAAATGATTGTAATTGACCTCTGTAATCGAAAATAATTTTTCCAAAATGATTTGAAACTTTTCAATTTCGTCGAAAAATTTGACCTTCTTTCTGAATATTTTTCTCGCAAATGCGTAGAATTTCAGGGGTATGTGTATTCACCAAAAATAATTGTAATTGACCCCCGCAACCAAAAATAATTTTTTCAGAACGATTTCAAATTTTTAACGAAGTCAAGAAATTGCTATTCTTTATTTTCGTTTTATTGTGGTCTCTAGAATTTCCCATTAAAATTTTTCCCAGGGGTAACCAAACACCCTGTATAAACGAGTGCCTTTTTACTGTTCTTTTTTATTCGTCTTGTCGTGTGGCGTTCTTTAGAATTTACACTTAATTCTTATTGAATAAAGAAATTCCTAAATAAATATTCTCTGCAGAGGTATCACGTTCTTCGTGACCAAGCTCCTTTCTGTTCCACCGACGACTATTGTTCGTATTCGTATATTTAATTAGACGGAATCCAGGAATATTGGACGACGTCGAAGTAGAAGCTTACCTCGTAAGAAAGTGTGAGTGCAGTTTTTTCTTGCTTCAGCTGTTCGGCCCTGTGCTTGTGCTGCAGCAGCCCCCGCGACGACTCCTCCATCCTGTAACAAATCAAACTCGCTTGAAGGAGCAGTCCAATTTTAATTCCCGTCGAAAAGATTCTAATTGAACGACCCGGCGTCGGTCCTCCAATCTCTTTCGCCTCTTCGCGAAGGTACCGGTACGACCGTTGTTATATACGTTTCAATTGCTTTCAGCGAGCCAACTCCACCGCGAAATATTAATGCTTCCGGGAGTCGAGCGTCCCGGCGCCCTGTAAAGTGTTCCTCGATAAATAGAATTTTTGGGAAAAAAATGTTTGTGATCGACGAAGCGTCGACGATGTTCTTGAGCGACTGGAACGCAGGGAGGTCCTTTGTCGTGTATTTATACGATTAGGTACGGTACGGTGAGCCCTTGACTCGCGCGGTTAATTCGTTTCGATGCTCTTCGCGCGAATTGTACAGTCTTCGAAACTGTTGCAAACGAATTTTTATACATTTCTTGTCAATTGTTGAACGAAGCAATATATGACTTTTGCTGAAAAGTCCAAATGATCATCGTTTACTGAGACAAACACCGCGATACTCGCGACCAATTCGAGCCATCTCCATCGTATCGTCTCTATATACCGCGTATTATATTTAATAAATTTCTAATTTGTTCGTTGAGTTTATTATTTCGTATCCTGACCATATCAACACCTTTCATAGCCCTGAACTAAACCATTGCAGCTGCGTGGCGAACAAAAGTGTTACAATTTGGAGGACAGTTGTGACTTCACAGAAGTTTCATCCCCCAAAACGAGTCGAACACACTGCTAAAGTGTGACCATCTGTTATGGTAACCGCATCTATTGACTCTGAACTGCTAGGCTTCTGCATATGCTGCTACGGAACTGCGAACTGCGGTCCCATAATCTTCCGAAGACCATTGAAATACACGTGAATCGACGACAAACGCAAATTCGATATTTCAGAAATCTTTCACCGAGAATATTCGGGGGAGAATCTTCAAACGAGGAAGCAGAATAAATACGAAAACCGCCCCCCTGCGTCGCGATTCTAAGCAAGCTAATGACTCGATGTGTACCCAAAGGTTTATCTCCGCGAGCGTGAATTCGTGAAAAAAGATCGCCACCCCCTCGACACACAGTGATTCGATTATCCGTTTCTTTGGGCGCGCTCGGGCTGATTCGCGCGAGTCGCCTCGCTGCCCTTCGCGACAAATTTCTTCGTGCCCACGCTCCGCGGGCTTAATGATCTGATTAGAGATACAAGAGGGTCGCGAGGGGCTAAGATATGAAGCCGATTTAAGCTTTCCGAGGGAGACGAACCGAGGGCTTTCCACGACGCCTGGCAACACCCATTTCCCCGACCGCCACCCACCCCCCTGTTCCCTTCTAGCCTTTCCCGTGCCAACTTTCAAACTAACTGCGCACTTTTGGGGCAACGTCCAATTGTTTTCTATCGTAGGAGCCATCTGCAGTCGCGCGGAAGGGTTTAATGAAGATTAATTGGCAATTACTTTAGCGGCAGTTGACTGCTATTTCCACGCACTGCTTCCGAGGGGAAAAGTTACTCACGAAACGGCCGACATTTCGTTTTTCAATGCCAAACGATGCCCAATTCCCGTATCTCGTGATCGTGAAAACTTGTGGCAAGCCAGACTCATCATTGTACGATCAAAGGGTTAACAGAAACTTCTCGAGTTAATTAAGAATTAATTTTTCAATCGGTTTTTATTGATTAACGTTATCACAATAAAGAATCATTTAAACTCAGAAACATAATAAAGGATTAAAAAGGGACAAGGTGATTTCGTCGCCATTTATATCGACCGAAAAATGAAACGAATCCAGTGGCGGATTAAGAAAAAGCAATTAATGAAAAAGGGTACGTAATAAAATTCCTCTCCAAAGTTGACAATTCTAAACTCCGTAATTAAATCCTCGACAGTGAAGGCGTCTTCCGATTGTTTCTCGTTTAAAGCGCCTGGCAGGGTGCTCCCGCGGTCCGTTTGCTATCGCCGTCGTCTCATAGAAGATTCATTTGTGTACACATCGGATCGTGAAAAGAAACTCGGCCGAATAAGCTGATTGTCCCGGCGAACTTGCTTGTTCAGGCTCCCAGGACTGTGTATATTCGCGGAGTTCGAGGCCGTTAATCGGCTTAAAACTCCGCTCGTTAAAGTTTCCAGTTTACCTTAGCTCTTAATGTGCGTCTGAAACGATTATGAGAGCCGGCCTTCGGCAGATTGAAGTGCCCGATCGGTCGTAACGAAAGATAAACCGTTCGTCTTTATTAACGCGGAGGTGACAACGTTCGCTTCTTATCGGTCGCGCGCTCTCCCGCTCGCCTCATTTGCATCCCGTTTATGCAAACAAGCATTTTTCTAGAACGAATCTGGTTACTTCGTTTAAAGTATGAAATAGGAGCGGGATACAGGAAAATATTATTACGAGTTTATCGAGGATAATATGATCATCGATGGGTATAAAAATCTCGTGTGCGACACGTTTTTACCATTACGATCTCGTTCTGGTAGCAAGTAACACTAAAATAACAATAATTTTTACTGATATTACAAGTAGGGTGATTATGGTCTTGTCCACCATGTTCTCCAATTTTTAATATTAATATAGTACCCAACCTTGATTATACTACTTGCAACGTGCGATTCTTCTTTTTTAAACTATATGTTTCCCTGATCGAGAACTCAGTACAAGTTGGACACCAGCGCAAGTAGAAATAGCATGCAATGAACAGACGCGCCAAATTTTCAAATTTATTTTTTTCACCACCTTTTCTAACTCACCATGTTCACTAGAGTATTCTGTATAGTTTAATTCAAGCCTTGAAGTAATGGTTCGAGCCTGGGAAAGTGAGTGGCATCAGATCGAGCGATCAGACTAGTGGCTAAGATATCGGTGTTATCCGATACACTTTTACGCTAGTACGATAGAAGGGCCGACTAACCGAGTTTGAAGATCTTATTTAACTTGCAGATTCGTTTCTTTTACCATTCTCGAAACGAGTTTAACAGAAGTCCTGAAGTCTAGCCTGGGAAAGTGAGTGGCAAGTATCAGATCCAGCGATTAGACTATCGTCTAGGCACGTAAGCTAGTTAGCTGCTGAGATATCGGTGCTATCTGATACTGTTTAAAGCAAGTACGACTACGAGGAGGGCGAGCATCGGCTAACCGAGTTCGAGGATCTTGTTTAACTTGCTACGCGTTCGTAGAGGCTTGTTTTATCGTTGTTGAAACGAGTTCCGCAGTGTCATCCATTTTTCAGGGTTCCAATTTTCTGAACACCCAAGTCGCGCTTCTTCTATTTCTCCAGAGAGCGAAGAACGACAATTTACTCGTACAGTTCATGAATGCTAACAAACGAATCTTATCCCTCTTACGGGGTACGCGGTAATTCACAGGATCCAGAAGTAACCTCGTAACCTCCTTCATTAGAGTTTTACCCCGGCGGTCGATTCCGCCAGCGGAACGGAGGGACTCTTCCTCCTACGGTGATTGCGCGTAACTTATCAACTGGGGTGCCATTCCACGCGGTCGGCTTAAGAACAATGCTCCGCAAACAGTAATTATAAGTGCAAACAGAAGAGCGATTGTCAGCGAGCTAGTCATACGACGGATAATCAAAATCGCAAGCCCTTGGGCTCAGTTTGCGTATTGCCCCCTTAAGCTCATCCTCCAGGTTTCACGGATTTCTAGCCGACCGTGTAATCGGAGGCAATCTGTACCAAATATGCTTAAAATCTAGCCTACGTCTATGCTTTTAGACACGGAAGTCCCACTCTGCTTCTAACTAATTCACACGAACCGATCGATCGCAATTTTAGTACTTAATTCTTAGGAAAAATATGGTAGTATGACATTGATCCTTTTCCGCAAGCTTTGTATCTATTCTCTATTGTCTAAAGTTATGGATAGAAGTCAAATAAGCTATACTGTTTGATTTAGATTACACAGAATATTTATATTTCATGCAAAAAATAGAAACGTTAAATTAAAATAGAGATTTATTATTATTACCATTTTGAAAGTCTCAACGGTGTTCCTATGAAATTCATATTAATTTATTTAATGTTTCACACGAATATTTTCTTATTCAAATAATAATATTTGAGTATCACTCAAATAGTAATACAGTAAAATTCCGGTTATCAAATATGCCTGGTATACTATATACGATGTTTACGAGTAGATCTTACATTTAATGAATTTTTTCGGCCCATTTTTTTGGAGCTCTAGAGCCCCATTACCATTTTCGTGTCAGAGAATGCGTCAAAAATTTTTTTCTCGAAAATGCGTAGGATTTCGGGGCTATGTTTATTCACCAAAAATGATAGTAATTGACCCCTGTAACTAAATATAATTTTTTTAGTATGATTTGAAATTTTTTAATTTCGCCTAAAAATTTCAGTACCTACTCGAATTTTTTTCTCGAAAGTGGGTAGAATTTCAGAGGTATATCTATTCACTAAGAATTCTTGTAATTGACCCTTGCAACTAAAAATAATTTTTTTAAAACAATTGGAAACTTTTTTAATTTTGTCGAAAAATTTCACACTTACTTGAATTTTTTTCTCGAAAATGGTTAGAATTTCGAGGGTATGTCTATTCACCAAAAATGATTGTAATTGACCCCTGCAGCTAGAAATAATTTTTCCAGGGTGATTTGAAACTTTTCAATTTCGTCGAAAAATTTAGACACCTACCCCCTGTCGATTTTTCTTAATTGATTTTCAGTAATTTTGTTTGACTCCCTATAGAAAAGTTGTCTAATACTTTTTTGTAGATACCCATGAGCTCTACTTCAGACAAAAATTTAATTGAAATATATTGACTATTTGAAAATTGGATCATTTCTATGGAATTTTTGTCACTTTACGGGGTTAAGGAGCAACTTTTCGAATATTTTTGGAATTCCTACATATTCTTCATCAAAATACGCGTTACATGCATTTTGAAACATTAAAATCCCCCAATCCGTTCAGAAGTTATGATGTTTCAAAGATACGCATGAAATTTCAGTGGAATAAATCA